GGATTGCAGTTGCGGGGGCCGGGCGCGTGGCGGGCGCGTGCACCGTCGGATGCTTGCCTGGCTCACGCACAAAGCGGGTTGCGTGCGGCCTTGTACGCGGTCTAGATAGACACCAGCTTGTGGGAGATGCAAGCAACGCGCTCGCAGCCTTCCGGGCACAACCATGCACCTCGCCCTGGGCACTCCAAGCTGCCGTGCGGCCACAGCTCTGCTGCTGCAAACCACGCTGCGCTACCAACCAGTGCTGAACACGCAGAAAGACTGCCGCCGACAGCCGGTTCACACCAACTGCGCGCACGTGCTGGCCACCCTCGCAGCACTGCACCTTGCCATGCCCGCGGCAGCCCAATGACTCCTACTCCCAACCAAAGCGGGCCTCATTCACCCGACCGCCGTCAACTGCCGCATCCATCGTTTCGCCGCGCGAATGCGCGCACATGCGTGCGCATGGCGCACCTGCAGCTGCCTCCTGCAGCTTCGCCTGCAGCTCCGCAGCGGGCTCCCCAAAGCCGGCCTGGCGCGCCACGTCAGCAAGCTGCGCCGCGTACCGCTTCAGGGCGGTCGTGCCGCTGCCGTCCGTCTCGTACGACAGGGGCACGTTGATGCTCTGGGGGTTTGGTGGGAGCGGGTTGCTTGCATGTGTTCGACGCGGGCGGCGCGGTGGCCGAGGGGCGGCGGCGGCGCGTCTGCTGCACCGGCTGCTGGGCGAGGGTCGCGTCAAGGCACCAGCTGGGGATCGAAGGCACTGCGAAGCTCATGATGCTGCGGCTGCTGTGTGCTGAGAACGTGCATGTGCACACACAGGCAAACACACACACACACACACACACATACACAAGTGCTTCAACAGACGAATAGCTTTCTCAAGTACCCTCCTGTGACGCCTGTGCTCTCACCTGGATGCCGCTCTCCACGATTTGCGCCGCTACGTACTTACGCTCCACCTTGGCGGTGAATGCGAGCTCCGCCTCGGCCGCTGGCGCCAGCGCCGCGGCGCCCTTGGCGGCAGCAGCATAAGCCTGCCGCTGGAACGCCTTGATCGCCGCTTCGGCCTCTGGGTCCGACTCGTTGTACAGGTTGTAGGCTACGTCCTTGCGTGTGAAAGCCTCACCTGTGTACGAGTTCAAAGCGAGCACATTCGTCTGGTATGGAGATTGCAGCACGCGGGGCTGGTGCAAGCAAGCCCTTGCTCTTTGCAGAACAGTTGCAGCATTTCCTCGACGCTCACCGTCTGTGGCAAAGCCACGGCTCAGCGCCCTGGCAACTCCGCTGCTGCATGCTGCTGGGGCAGCAGCCCAGGCCAGAGAGGTCCCTGATCTGACCTGCAGCGGGGAATCCAAGATGCTTCAGACGGCGCGTCAGGCAACAAGGCATGCTAAACAGGAGATGCAAGCTCACCAGCTGCTGCAGCAGCCCGGCCATTCTGGCTCTCCCCAAGGTTGATCTCTTCCGGCCTCGCTGTCTGACGTACTGTGAAGAGTGCGCCCCTAAAACAGCGCGGGCGACCGGTGTGGCAGACTGAGAGGAACAGGGGTCTTGCCGTGGGCCGTTACCGGCATGCGCACGGTCAGTGAGCAGCGCAGGTGCCGAGCAATGAGGGGCTGGTGCCGGGTGCAATGCCGCAACCACAATACTTGAGCACCAAGAGGACGGCAAGAGGTAAGCCCGCACAAGTAAGGTAACACGAGCGCAAGAATTGTGGGTTGGCAACATGCTCAGGGACACGGCGTGCTAGGCCACGATGACCTGTACGCAAGCAGGCGCGCGTGGAATTTAACACGCTGCAACCTGCGCTGAAAAGAGCGGAGAGTTGAGAAGTGCTCAGAAGGTATTGCTGAAGCTGATGTTTCGCACCTGGCTGAGCCTGCGTCAGTGGGCTCTGGCACCATCACGCCCCAGCAGAACGCACCCGCATGAACACCACTGGCCACAACCGACTAGGTCAAACCTGGTCAACATGCAGATCAAGCAGCGGCACAAACAACGCAATCTTGTTGTCCAACAATTGTTTCCCTTGTTTGTGTACTTTGCCGTAGTGTCGGCATGCAATCTTGCAGGACGCGCTACACGGCAGCCAGCGCTGGGTAAGATCATAGGAGGCCCGCATCATTCGCTCTAAAGTGGCCCCTGGTTCGGGCTGCAGCGCGTTGCGCTTGGACTCGCCCCAGCAGTCAGCACCCCTCCACCCTGGCCGCGCTCTGGCACGCTGCCGCGGCGTGATGCTGCACCAGATGGGTGCTCACGAGATGGATCCAGCTCCTTTGAAACATTGCCAGGGCTCAAGCGATATCAAGACATAATGCAAGGTTCTGATGCTATGCTAATGTCCAGCAACATCAGTATGCAATGCAAGGTGGTTCTGGGATTGTACACGGCACCAATTGACTGAGGGCAGACTGGCGTGGCCGGGTCCATCATGGTCGCCCTCTAGAGCTGCGTTGAGGTCGACGCCGCCAACCACCCTGGATTGCATGAGCACGCCTCAGAAAAGAAGCCACGCACATGTGCATGTGAAGGGATGCCTGTGCAGGAACAGCACGGGGAGCAAGGAGATTGCCAGGAGGCTTCAGCTGTGCTGCACGCAGGCTGGCCCCTTGCTCAGCGCCTCCGCGGTGGATCGCACGGTGCCAGCCGACATCAGCGCGGGCTAAACAACGAGGGGCGACCCACGAGCTGACAAGCTCAGCTAGCCAGGAGCGCTGCGTGACAGCAGCAGCAGGTGAGCAGGATGAGAGGCAGGCCAGCGTTACACAGACAGGGAGAGAAGCATGGCCCAATCGGAGGTTTTGTGCACACAGCATAAGATGATGCGACTGTGAGGGAGGGGCAGGAGTGCATGCTGTGCGACGGTCATGGCGGGCGGCCCCTGGGGCTCCACCTGGCGTGCTGATTGAGGTGCTCGCGAGTAAAATCGACTAGGGGGCAGCCGGGCAGGCGCAGGACGGGTCGCGCCGCACAAAAGAATGAGTACAAGGTAAGCCGTTCTGCTGCGATTCCACGGCTTCGGCTCCACCGAGCGGCCGCAGGCCTGCATCCTGTGGCGGGCCATCCAAGGGCTCGCCCACACGCCCCCGCGCAGCGACGGCCGTCCTGTGGCGGGCGGGCGCACCCGCGCGT